GAAACGGTAAGTGCGCACGTGCGCATTTCACACTACGAATCGGTGGCCCGGCCCAGAGCACCCAACGACGCTCATATTGTCCCCTGACTACCACTTTCAGGCATATCAAAAATATCGAGCAATAAAATCGGAAAAAAAAAAAATCACAATTATATGATTCGAAAAAGTCAGTGCAAAAGGACCGGCTTGCATGAATAGTCGTCAATTGGTTTGGAAATATTACCTAATTAATTTTGAATATCCTTTTTTTTACAAGGATTTTTATAAATATTAATATTTTTATATTTAATATATAAATTTTTATTTGTATAATCTAATATTCCATTAATGATGTCAATAGATTTTATCACACACTCGAGATTTTGATGCTTAAAAAAAAAAAGTATTGTGTATTATTGTTGCTCATCCTTGATCATACCTTGTTGGTCGCCCCTCACCTTTGCACTTCCCTCTACTTCAGCCAGGCCAAGCTCACCTTGAGCCCAACAATTAGCCTCCAAGTTGTGGGGAGATTATTCTGCACGGACACCGGACGGTTCTACCATCTGGTTACCCTCGCTATTGCGATCGGTATCGAGTGCAGTACATTTTTGGAGTGACATGACGCATTTTTATTGCTCTTCGGACACATCCGGACTCCACATAGAATAATAAATCCTAATTGTGAGCCAATACTCCCCTCCCCTTGATGTAACTCTGAGGTCACAGATGTGCTTTTACTATTCACTGTTGTGCTTTTATTGTTCACAATCACAAAACTAAACGATTCTCTGTATTTGAACTCCACACTTAATAGGCTCTCCACATGCTGCCACTACAACTGCAAGTCTGCAACAACTCGCAATTGGCAGCGATGGACGACAATTGATTGACATGTGGAGGGTAATGTGACTGATAGCGACCAACAACAAATTGTTAAGGGAGATTGGACCTTCGACGCAATGACGGATGGTAATGGGAAGCCTCTTTTTTTTGTTTTTTTTTTTTAATGTTTTGCATGTATATGTAAAAAAATTAAATGATTAATATATAAATTTTAATGTTTTTTTTTTTAATAAATTTTAATGTTTTGAATCATTGTGCTAGGCTTCCTTTGTGACAGTTTTTTTACAGCTTTGAAGCAATTTTCTAATACAAAAATATTAATTTTTATACTAAAAAGCTGATTCAAAAAATAGTAAAAAAATTATCCCAAAAAATCTTAAATTTTATTTTTGTTTACCGCAAAGTCGCAAACGCAACAAAAAAACTCGAAATAAAATTTATTAAAAAATAACGGAAAGATCTCGATGGTGCATTACAATTCAGCTTTCGACTTCCATTCCGTCGAGGACGTAACACCGCCGCCATCAGCAGAGGACGAAGACGACGGCCGACGGCTTCTTCTGCTACTCCGGCTTACATCCTTCAGCGACGGCGCAGCCCCGCCGTTTTCGTCGCCGCTATACCGTATAGAGCCGCTCCTCAGCCGCCGCCGCCCGCCTTCGAGTCCGCCGTTGTTCACATCATTCGAACGGCTCCTCACCGCCGCCACTTGAACCGGAAGAACGCATTTACAGAGAAATCCTATCCATTGCCGAAGGAAAATCAGTGGATTTGATCATCAGCACAAGCGGTGAGTTGTGAATTCGACTTCAAAAGAAAAACTTAGTTTTTGGGGAACAAAAGAAAATCAGATAAAATAATTCTCTATCTCTCTCTGATATACATATGTTAAATTAAAAATTCGTTTTAAAAGGAAAAAATAACAATAATAACAGACAATTTTCCCCAAATAGGTGAGATGAAACTCTTGAAGATGACATTGAATAGAACAATTTTTTTTATATAAATCGAGCTCAAATCTGATTTTAAAGTCAATTTGTCACTCGAATTAAGATCAAAGAGAGCCATCTTAAATGTGACTTCACTGAAGATCTAACAGAATGGCTTCCGGTCATTCTCAAGATGGGGACAGATCACACCCTGTAACGTTGGATCAAAATTTTGTCCTAATTTTTTTCTATCGAAAATAGAATAGTTTTGGCTCAAGCGAATCAAACTTCATAAGCCAATCCCAGCTCGGCTTGAAACCAAAGATCATACACAGCCGCTTAGGGATCAAAATCGAAAACGAAATTAGGGATTCGAAAACGGTACCGAGTTTCGCAAGGCGATTGACCCATCGTGGAGTCCCATTTCCAGTGAGACGAAGGCAGGCATCGTAACAGAAATGATTGCAGTTCTTCGATATAAGGTTGTAAGTGTTCCCCGTATATCGATGAGCGAGCTCATCCATGAGCTCCCGCACCTCGCTTGGCCCCAGATCCGTCATCCCAATCAAGATCGACTTCCGGAAAGCGAATCCGGTGCATGATCGGGGCTCCGCTTGGAAGATCCCTGTCGTTGGGTGATCGTGCGCGCCGTACGCATACTCTACTCCGTGCACTGCAAAACCCTAACCCTAAAATTAATCGGAATCACTTGAACAAGAAACAAAGTGAGTAACCTCACACGAACCCTAATTGATTCCATTGGAAAGGCTTGGGTGAATCGATCTGACCTTGGACGCCGGAGTGGTAAACTCCTAGGCCAAGCCAGTAGGCGTAACTGTTGATGGCCGTGAGATCGTATACGTTGAGGTAAACTGGCACCGCTCCTGTCCTCAGCTTCAGGACAGTACGACGCCGGACGAACATCCGGCGGCGGTGGCGGGGGCAGATCAAGCTTTCTGACGCAGCGGCGAGAAATGCACAGGAATTTGAACGTTGATTGATTGTTTATTGATTTTTTTTAGGACTTAGTTCGACGTAGTCGTGATTTTAATGAACGCGAACGAAGAAGAAAGAGACAGGAGTGGGAAGAAGACGCAGACGCACACGAAGGGACAGGACGGACGGAGAGAAAGTGGAAAATGTTTTGCTTTGTTTACTGCCATCCTCCATTGGCTCCTATTGGAATATTATTTTATGATGAAATTATAAGTAAAATTCGAACTCAAGTGCCTAATTAATTGAATATCTGGCATATGTATTTTCTTAAATATATATGTCAAAAAATTTATTTCAATAAAAATATATTATTTTACATAAATAATTTTAGAACTTTCGCATAAATATTAATTTAAAATAATTAGTTGCTCGATTCTTTCTCTTCTTAGCACTTTTTCCATCTATAAGATTATTTTGCATTAAAGTTTCCAAAAATTATTTGTTATTGTCTCATCCCAATCCGATCAGGATATATCCCATCGTGTTGAGTTGTCATAGGAAATTCTCAATATCTAATTTTGAAATGTTTATAGTCTCTTCCAATGATCATTTTAAATTAAGCTACAGACAACAAAGTTATTAAAACATATAAATACTGAAAATAATCTTATCCACTATGATTCTTTCATTTTACCTATATTAAAACATATAAATACTGAAAATAATCTTATCCACTATGATTCTTTCATGCAGAAACTACAACTAAAAAGTAAATTAGTTACGATTGTATAAAAATCAAAATAACAAAAAATCTATCAACTCAAATATATTCATGAACTACTAATCAACAGTCTCTTTCCCTTTCTCATACACTGAAAATTACAAGCAACCAACAATGAGCTACAACAGCTCATCAAATCACAAAATCCAATCTAAATTTTAAAATTCTTTTCTTTAATTAATTAAACATTTTACTAAATATTTAAAAGTTGCTAAATTTAATCATATAATTCATTGTGTGTACTGTAAAAGGTAAATAAAGCATAGTAATTATTCGTAATTAATAACAATGAAGAAGTGAACATACTAAGTAGACAAAGTATAGAACAATTTATAACATATAACATTTCATATTTCATATCCCGATCACAGATATAATCTCAAAGGATTATTATCCCTTATGTCTCATTTTTATGCTATAACACTTGAACTTACTCGTAGGCACCTGGATATGGCTTATAGCTACTAGAACATGCCTTATAGACACCAGAATATTCCTTAACACAAATAAAATTTCATAGGATTTTGACCTCTTATAACTCCCGACATATATTTTCAATCATATAAGAATATATCTTACAATATAGGCATATATTTCATCATATTGCAATAATTAAAGCAAAATTAAACACATTTCAGAATTGCACAATATTGTATAAAGGTAGACAACTAAACTTTCTACTAAGCAAATTTTTAAAATGCCAAAACATAATCAAATGAAAAAGAAATGTGTAAAACGTTGTTTTATGACTTTTATTAAACTACCATGTTATTTTTCAGTGTCCAAATTAATTTATATTCAATTCAAATAGCACAATTTTTAAAATACCATGTATAAAAGTTCCAGAAAAAACTCAAATGTTCTTAATTATGTTCTATATAACATATAAAACGTTACACAGTGAAAGTCTTGTTGTTACAAAGTTATATACGTTTTTCGCTATTATAAATACAATTTTAATAAAAAAAATAAAATGTTGTATTATTGAAAACTAAGATAGACATAATGTGTGTTACCTCGATCCGGATAACTTTTTCAACTGGGATGAAAACCGAAAATGATCCAAAGTGACTCAAAATGTGATTTTCTCTCTACAAATCTATATCTTTCTCTCTCTTGCTCGGTAGTCTGCTTGGTTAAAATGAACGAATTAATGAGAATAAAATGTATTTAAAGAGCTCATAATGGCCTAATGCTGTGGTGCTAAAAAATATGTAACAACCCAAGAGTTGGTGCCGCAATGTCACTTTCTAACACCTTGGCTGAGTGCAATGCCATGGCGCTCAAACATGTGACTTGGGACGCTTGAAAAGTGACATTTTTTTATTTTACCAAAATTCACATGGAACACTTAAGGCACATTCTAGAGCACGCCCAATCAATTGTATGCATTAAAATACTCTAAAAGACATACAGATAGTTGGAAAAGCACAAAAGTTCGAAACCTTAACTTTTTTCCTATTGGGTCAGAATTAGTTGAACTAAATGTTGAACATGTAGGTGTTACAGTTAGTCTATGTGGAATTTAATTGTGTCAATCAATCGAGTTGTCCTATTACCTCAAATCTCAAGTCAAATTGACATGCTCGATTGGGGGTCCTCCCAAAGCTTCACATATAAAACTTTATTTTTTCGTACAATGCACCGGCATTGCGTGCTGAGCTCCTTGTGCACCCAAGCGCCCCTGTGCTATAAAATTTGCTATGAGAAAAGATAGCAGGTGAAGCGCCGCAAGGCTCTAAATTCAACTTCAAAGTGCTATCAGGCGTACTAGAAAGAAAGTCTTGCATTCTTTTATTTTGCACTAATATTCAATTCATACATAGAAAAAGAAAAGAATATACGAGACTCTAAAATTCTTCTATGAAATATCTGGAAAGTGAAAAAAATCATAGGGTTAAATTTAAATTATGTACTATGTACTTGAGATTATATAAATATGATTTTCCTTATAATTGAAGAAGACAAGATTATAAACTAAAAGTACTGCCATGATCTCCTATGATTCTAATAGAGATTTTGGTTTCGTTTGGGATGGTTTTATTACTGTTTCTTAAAATAATTTTTTTGAACAAAAAATTAGAACTTTTGTACTTGAAAGCTGCTTTAAAAAACAGTAAGAAAGTCATATCAAACGAAACCTATATGATAAATATTAGAGGCATGATGGTGACCATTAGACAATATTAGCTAGATGATGATGCTTGGATGATGTTACTCATATAATGGGGGCTAGATAATAACAGTTGGGTGATGGTGGTCAGTCGACAACAGTCAAACAATACTAGTTAGATGAGAGTGAATGGACAATGATAGTTTGGTTGTAGGGATCATATGACAATTTTTAAACGATGATAATCAATCAACGATGATGGAAGACATTAATCTATAACGTTGAATATTGGGTAAAGTTTTAAGAGTTTTTAAAATCTTCTAAGTTCTCTCCAATCTCAAATTTAGGTCATCTTCATATGGATAAAATGACTCGATTAGTTTTTTTTAAAGTCAGGTTTTAATAAATTTGGCCAAAAAACTATCGTACTCCATCGAACAACCAACATTAAATCGTTTAAGCATAGACATTTTATTCAACATTTAAGTATGTTAATGACCTCAAAATTAGATGATCATAAACTCGTTGAATTATTTACTGAGTCATTAGATTTGACTGTAAGTATGCAAGATTTAGAAATAACTTTTGGTCCTTCATTCAGTATCCCAACTTTTTCAATTTTGCTTTGAGTGCTTGATTTTGTTCGTTTGGAGCTAGATCAAATTATTTTTGATTTCATTGGATTTATCTTACGAAGACTATTTGTTTGATTATAAAATAGTTGAAATCAAAGTAAGGATGATAACATTTTTTAATGTAAGATAAAACATCAATTGTATATCCATAGGATTTTTTTTTTTTTTGGAAAAGGAAAACAAAGTTAATTAGAAAAAAACTTCTATTTTGAATTTGATCTCTTATATTATGCTAATATTATTTTTCTTTATTAAACAACTTTGTTTTAAAAAAAAATCATATTTTAATTTAACTTTTAAATATAAGTGAACATCAAATTTTTTTTGAATTTTTTAATAATCATATACAATGCTTTCAATTTTAATATTTATTTGTGAGATATTTGTACCATCTTGAATTTTTTGGCAAGAAATAATAGTTAAATTTTAAAACCAATAAAGCTTTCATCAGATTAACTCATTTTTATATTAATTATTTTATAGGAAGGGAGGATGAATACATTATAATCGATATATAAAAAATTATTTTTCTATAAAAAAAAAAAGAAAAAAGAAAAAAAAAAACAGTCTCAGGATTTACAGTCCCACAACTAGGACATAAGGGTTTAAGAAGCAAAAAGGTCCAGCGAGAACAGCAAACCGCGAAAACCTCGACGCCATGGCTCGCCTCCTCTCCCTAGCTCGGAGATCCCTCTTCCTCAAATCCCTATCGCGAACACCTCCGTCTATTTTCTCATCTTCGCGATCATATATATCCGAGATGCGCCGCTCCGCCTTCAAGGAAAACCTTCTCCGCATCCTCCGCACGGAGATCACCTACGAATCCGAATATCGTCCTCCCCTGCCGGTAATCATCCCATAAACCTCCAATATGCTCCATCATCCTTCGAAAATTTGGACTTTTTCAGATACCATTTTCATTCTGATGCATTTCTTCAGCCTGCAACAAGCTTCGATTCTTTCTTAGTGGAGGACAATATGGGGGAGCAGTGGATTCGGCTGAGGCGTAAGTACGGTGATGCAGAAGACATTAAAATCGACGCCATCATGTTCGATGGAGCTTCACCTCCGAGGCAGGCGGCGGCGGATGGAGGGGAGGAGGAACCTCGGTTGCACATTAGCCTCATTGTGGAGGTATCCAAAGGCGAGGCTTCGGATTTTGTCCTGCAGTTTGTTTGCTCGGCATGGTCCGATTCTCTCGATGTAGAGAAGGTCTTTCCAGTATCCCGTGGTTCCCCTGCGATCAGGCCCTTCATGGGTCCTAATTTCAAGTAATTATTTCGTTATGCTTCTCTTTGGAAATTACATCTTCAACCGTTTAAATTGCGGGGGAGTAGATAGTTAAATGGGAATGTAGTGCTGTCATGACTATAAAGGAATCACAGAATTAGAATTTAAAATAAGTGGGCAAATAAATAAAATAAAATATATTTAAAAGAAAACGGTGACAAAATAAGAAAAATAATTTAATGATGATATTTTGATTTAAATTTGATCAGGAAATACGTGATAATCATTAAATTTATTTTGAGATAAATATAAAATAAATTTTGATTGATTGATTGATCATATTACTCGCCTCAAAGTAAATTCAATGGCTTTAAAATAATCCTCAGTAGTTCGAGCGTTGAACGCTTCCGGAGGTCAATCAGAACCGCCATGTTTTTGGAGGCCAATCAGAGCCGCCATGCCACGTAATGCACTGTGCCTTGGATGACATGACGGCTTCTGATTGATGTCCGGACTCATTCGGCGTCCACACGTAATAAGTTTTCCAGTAGTTGACAATATTCTGACCTTAGTTTTCTCCGGCAAAACTTTCTTACTCTAGGAAATTTCAAGTGGCAAAAACAAATATTAAAATGCACAAAGGTAAAAGGGCTGGTAAGATTAATCTTTTATACTTAAACCTTGCTTGAAGAAAATTTAACCAAAACTTGGGTGGGCAACGGCTACTCCATCATCCCTTGGTTGTGCCACTGGCATAAAGCAAAACTACGTCATTTATGTACTTGTAAAATACATTATATTGGATCAAATAACTACTTGAATGTCCTGATTGTATTTGCAAAATCATATTCTTTCTTTTCTAGCTAAAATAGTTTTGGAATCTTGCAGGGAGTTGGATGATGAGCTGCAGGATGCAATAAGGAGTTACTTGGAGGAGAGGGGGGTGAACGATGACCTTGCTGAGTTCTTACATGAGTACATGGCAAACAAGGATAAGTTGGAGTTTATTCGCTGGATGAGGAATGTGGAGTCTTATGTGAAGAAGTAGAGTACATTTTCCAAGCATCAATTCATCTTTCACGGGTTGGTTCAGTCTCACTTTTGTTGATATTTTAAGGTTAATTTTTGTGTTGTTATTTACTTTTACATAACACTTTTGGAGGGTTGAATTGCATGATAAAATGTATATTATTTTTGAAGAGTTTTATCACCGGGGAACTTACTCATTGATTTAAGTTTGAGCAGTGTTACCTTTGAATAGGATATAAATTGTATGCCTCAAATTTTAGGATAGCATATAATCTGTACACTTATGGCAAACTGTCTTCCTTATGGTTTCTTGTGAAATAAGCAAAATGTTAGAACTTAGAATAATGGAGAAAAGGTTTAAAAGATAAATTGGCTTTGGATTAGTAAAGCAGACTCTGTGTATATGATATGTAATTTTAGCGGTTGTGAAATTACTAATCATTAGCCCTAAGTTACTACAAGATAAAATTATACTTTGTGTTATGATTTAATATTGTTGTGCGTGGATGAGATGAATAAACCACCCAACCTGATCTTAAGCAAGATCTTGATCGTAGTTTAAAAGATTTATTTGCAAATTGAGCATTTGTAAAATTTAATCACAAAGAAATAATTTCAGGCATTACTTGTAAAGAAAATGAAACAACAAGAACACACATTTTATTGTTAATGTTGGTGGTTAAAATAGAGAAGTATCTCATGAGTATTATGTAATGGGAGAACATTATGGGAACTTAAAATATAAATTTACAATATAATATATTGTAGTCCAACTATGTTTTATGAGGATGAGTATTGGACAATAATTAAGTCATTAGATAAATTAAGCATGGTAGAAATGAAAATGTTATGATAAATATATTTAGATTTAAAACTGATTGTTTTAGAGGGATCAAGGGAGTATCATTAATTATTATATGGGATTGTGGAAAATAAAATTTAGTGGTTTTCATATGTACAATAAAGGGTGGAAGATGCACCAATAAGGCACATTGATGTAATAGGTATAACACCTCATTAAACACAAATCATGGGTGAAAGAAGACTAGGGATTCATTAAGCTGACCCCCTTTAGTTGAGAGAAGGCTAATGTATTTGTCTTCAATATAAAGCTACTTTCTTATTTTGCTCTAATCATTTTGTTATGCCTTATGGATTATTATCCCAAGTTATCTAGCCTTTTTAAATATTAGTTAGAGGTGTCAATAAATGATTCGAGACAACAACCCAACATGACCTAACTAAAAAATTTTGGATTTGGGTTGATCGGATTATTATTTCGGTCGGGTTTGAGTTGACTCAAATATTATGAAATCAGCTCAAATTGACATGATTATTGTTAGTGTTCAGGTTTTGAAAAGCTAGAAACACATTGTTAAAAAATATATGTATATTATTAGGTTAAACAAGTCATATGGGCTAATTAAGATGTTTTGATCCAAAATTTATATGATTCCTATCATATATGTGTTAGATGGGTCGAGTTTGGGTTAGGCGGATTCAAGTCAAGTCTTTTTTAGATTAAACATTTTGATAAAAGTGTCATGTTTAGGTCAAGTCAACTTCAGGTTAGACCTAAATCCGAGCTTTCAATTCAAATTGACACCCCTAATCTTAGTGGTGTTTATTTATGCATATCTAGATTTTTTAGATCAATGAAAATTTAAAATGCAAGTTCTTATTAAGATACTTTCCATTAAAAAAATTGCTATAGTAGTTATGCTATTTCACTGTTTTTATAAGTATTGCTCAATAAGTTTGGAAATTAAGTATCAAGAACTAAAAACAAAATCACTTTCAGTTGGACTTATAGAAATAATTTTGTTAGATATTTAAATAGGACTTAAATTAGCTTGTTTAATTGATTTAATTTTAGTAGCATGATTGTTCACATTCAAATTCACGAATCATTTTATCAGTTTGATCAATTGAATTATCAACTACATTAATTATAATTTGTTATGCTTCATTGACCGAAACTTGGCCCAATTTATAGATGTTCACAAAGGGGAAAATATGAAAGAAATAAATATATCCTAGTGAAAAAATAAATATAAATATTACAAGTTTTTTTTTAATTTAAAAAATATCAATATATATGATAGAATCCCATGGAATAAGGTTATAGACAACCAATTCCTGTTGCCTACCAAATATATAAAAAACCAACCTTCAATCCATTAATTCCAACTATTGTCTAGCCATACCTCCCATAAAAGGAAGCTCGTGAGTTGCATTCATCAATACACAAAGAGTTATCGACTACCTTTTTTTTAGAAGGATAGAACTATAGAAGCCTCTCTCCTCACACATCTTACACCATCATCTAAATTTGAATTATTGAGATTTGAAGTAGCTTATCCTTAAATATTTCATGCTACTTTAAATCAAAGCCATTCATGAATAAGGATAAGTTGTGTAAGATGTCTAAGGCCACAGGTTTTTATCCTTACATAAGGATAATAATCTAACACTCTATCTAGGATATAGTCAAGAAGGCCTTGTTTGTTTTTGCATCATTTAGTAAATAAGCAGAAAAATTTTGTCCAAATTGGAACCGTTTACTCATCTAACATGTTGAACATGGATAGCTAATGAGTCGAATATAAGCTGTTTGCGAACATCGACTTTTTTTGACACCCTTTAATAGCTAAAGTTGGCATAGTAGATAAAAATAATTTTAAGATCTATTAATGATTATATTATGGGAATGGCTTGAATGGCTGTTGAATGCTCAAACTATGGAAAAGATTCTGACTTTTCACAGTTAGACAATAATAATAATCATTCCACATGTCAAACCACCTTCTTTTATCCATTTTTTTTTCATTTAGATGTTTGCATTGATTCCATACAGATCAAACCATCATTAGTCTAATCCCAAGTGTTTGAAGTTCATAATTATTTATTTATGAATCCTCATTTTTCATTCATTCTCTAAATACAGCAAACATTTATAACAATTCCACTATAGCTAACGTCATTATGTGGGCTGAAAGTGGTTTTTCTGCGAAGTCTTCTTATAGTCTATAGAAAATTTTAGAGATACGAATAAAAATTAACTCGTCAGAAGCTTAAAAATCCCTAGAATAGGCATTAAAATTTGAGAAAATTGATGTTAGAGATTAGGAGCAAGCAAACTTATGGTTTCTAGTACTTAGCCATAAGAAATGGGAGTTATAAGAAAGACTAAGGTTTCATTTGGGATGGCTTTCTTCCTTCTTCTTAAAGCAGTTTTCTAGCTTAAAATTAAAATTTTTATACTAGAAAGCTGCTTTAAGAAACAGTAAGAAAGCCGTCCAAAATGAAGCCTAAATTTGTGGCATCTTAAAATTTGGCAATCCGTTGAGGTACAGTTGTTTGAATGTCATATAGTTTTGGATTGGAAGGTATTTGCAACATGTTTGAATTGGTAAGCTCTGAAGTTGCACCGGTTCTGTTTTTTATTTTTAGGGAAATGTTTTCTGTACCGGGTACATCAATGCAATCAGCATTACAAGATCAAAGTGAGAAAGGGATTTGCTTGAAAAGCTAATTGCTTCAAGATGTAGAAGATATCCTTTACTGGTAATTTGGTCATCTAGAGCTATTGAAATTATTTCATACCTTTCGTTTGGTTGTGCCAACCTTGAGGCAGTTTAACAGAACCGACTGGAATCTTTTACAGTTCAAGCTTTAAAGCACTCTGACGATACCACCTGATACTTAATTGCTTGTATTATGTAAATCTCATTAGAAATTTCATAAACAAATGTGTTTGTTTTCAGATTTTGCTTGAAACATCAGAATTATTCCTGTAAAAGAATTTCTCATTTATTATGAATCTATTTTGAAATTTATCTCTGATATTTATTTCTTCATTCTGATGAGCTTTTTTTTCTAGAGCACGTGTTGTTATTTTATTGTATTTGTTTTTTCTGTCATTAATTTGACTGATAATATTTATAACTTTGTGGGAAGATTTTCATAATGGTTTTCCAGCTTGCGGTGTAAGTCCTTTCACTGGCTTTTAATATTGTAGCAGATATTGTTGGGTGATTTTGACGTTCTGTAATTGTGTTGTGTGTGAACTCAGAAGCATCAGAAACTGGAACAGATCAAAGAAAGTATGCAGCTTTCACTTTCCCATTTCCTTGTTTCTTCCTATCTTCTTTAGTAATCCAAATTATTATATAATCTGTTTTCTGATATTCCATCGTCTGTTCATTCCTGTCCTATTTGACTTAAGTTTCGTTTGGGACAGCTTTCTTACTATTTCTTAAAGCGGCTTTCTAGCTCAAAAATTAAAATTTTAATACTAAAAAACTACTTCGAGAAGCAACAAGAAAGTCGTCCCAAGCGAAGTCTTAATCTTCATGATCTTTTTTAAAAAAATGTTGATCATGCATAATTAGATTATTGATAGTTTGATTGGCTAGCCAAGTAGATGGTCTCCATGCACAATCATTAATGTTTTTTTATCAAAGTTCTCACCTTTCATATTTTAAGCTACCACAAGTGTTTGGTTTAGATTATTGAAATTACAACTGCTTAACTTTGTCCTTTGCTTGACATTTGCAAGCTCATCAAACTTATAAAAATGCCATCTTGTTTGTTACAAAGCATTGAGGGTCCCAAAAAATCTGTTCTCACCATCAGCACATCATGCAAATCTCTATGCTTTTCAAACCTTTACCTAACTATGTCCACCAACATAGAAAGTATATGGTTTCATCCATATCTTTCTATAGAATATATATTACAATGGCGTTTATGTCATCCAAGCATGAAACCATTCTCACATTAGCTGATAATAACTACTTGATGAGGTCACTTTCAGTTTAGAAGGTGCATCTTTTTCTACTATTTCTGTCCCACTTAAATAGAAATTGGTTTATATCTTATGCTTTGTTTGGGACAGCTTTTTTACTGTTTTTTATAGCAGCTTCTAGCACAAAAATTTTTGTACTAAAAAGTTGCTTTAGAAAATAGTAAAAAAATAGTCTCAAATGAAGTCTTAGGCTTGGTTTAGGACGACTTTTTTACTGCTTTTTAAATCAGTTTTTTAGTAAAAATTAATTTTTTTGTACTAACAAGCTGCTTTAAGAAGCAGTAAAAAAGATATGCCAAATGAAGCCTTAGTTTAACATGTTTCATGCCTCTGATAAGTTTAAATCAATTTTACCTAGCATTTTGATATGTTTAAGATGTTATATGAGAAATATATTAATTATGTTGGTAAAAAATATTGAGTTTTGTATTTCAATTTTTGTTATTTTCTTCATCTTCTCTCTTTTAATTTAATCATTTCTTAATTATTTTTTTAATTGTCACATTATTTTTTTCATAATTGATTGGCTATTCTTCGTGATTTTTCATTTTTTCTTTTAAATCGCATGTCTACTTCTTTGTAATATAAATATTTATTTGTTTGAGGCAGCTGTAATTTTTTATAAAATTAGTTGTGAATTTATTGTGGAGAAAATATTTTCCTTTAAAGTTGTATCATAAATATATATATTCTTTTGAATAGTCTGATAGCAGCTTTTTGGCAACTCCCACACATTCTTGGATCTTGGTGTAAAAAAAACTTCTCGTCACAAAAATTTCTAAAAAAATATTAAGGCTTCGTTTGGGATGACTTTCTTACTGCTTCTTAGCGTACTTTTTTAGTATAAAAATTTTATTTGTTGTACTTGAAAGTTGTTTTAAAGAACAGTAAGAAATTTATTTCAAACGAAGCCTAAAAAAGCATCAAATAGACGTATAATTACAGTCTGAAAAACAAAGCAATCAGAAAGTTGCCGCATAAAATGCAATATTTTATAAAATATTATTTTTATAAGTCACAATCAAGACTTATTTAGTTTTGATCAGATTTCAGAATTTATTATTTTCAACTTAGTATTCCTTATTGCATATCAATGAACGATGTTGAGAGAGAAACTCAGTATAAATATATCTTACAATGATCTTACGGCATCTTATCCTTTCTATAAAGTTTTAAAATGGAGAATATACGTATTACGTTAAAGAACTGCCTATCTTTATTATTATTATTATATATAAAAAAAATCTCTCAAGTAGGTTGCGTGTGGTGTGTTCTTTGTAAATAGTCACAAAGAATAAGCGACAATAAATTTTTATTTTGGATTAAACTGAAAAAATGTGTTTTGTAATCATAAGGATAAGTGATAAGGAAATATTTTCAGTTAAAGCTAAAATAACTAAATAAGTTTTTATAAAATTAATACACTTAATAAAGAGAAGTGAAGACAAATAATGGAGCTTATTGCAAATATTTAGTATTCAGCTTGTTTTGATGATTTCCTAATCCGATGTGATTAAAAATAATTACCACAGTATTATAATCTATTTATTTATGAATGCATGAAAAATTGTTAAAATGCTCAATTGCTTTTTAAAAAGGGAAATTACATACTAACACTCAAACTTATTTTTTCATTACTGAGTTTTATTATTTATTTGCAAAAGTGCATAACACATAATTTTTTTAAACACCATTGTCACCCTCTTCAATAACTCTATCATTGAAAACTCCTTTTTGTCTTTAAGAAGATGATGATTATTTTGATGTCCTTAGTACGTGGAGAAATTATTATGTGTGGAGTTCGGACGCAGAGTTCCGTCCGGATACACACTATACACAAAAGTATATTGTGTATATTTGTATACTGTGTCTACACATTGTGAAGTTCGGATGCAAAGTTACGTCCGAATATTTTAGTGTACACACTGTACACAAAAGTATATTGTGTATATATTGTATACTGTGTCTACACACTGTGTACATTTATATGTCTGAACATAGAATTACTTTCACACGTAATAATTTTTTTAGTAAGTGAGATATCATCGTCACTTGAATTTTCCTTCGTCCTTCGCAAACTTGTTTATCTCGTGGTTGCCGTTCTTTGTCATGAGTTCATCATCTCTTTATCATTACAATAACAACATGTTAAAGACTTCCTCGTCTCATCAAAATTGTGTCGTGTTTTTATCATATATTCATCTTCCTAATGTAAAGATGCCATGACTCTCATGCTCTTCTCTGTGGTCGGGGGTTTTGAAAGTGATGGTGGTGTGGAACCTGGCGGAATCTCCTTCACGAACACCTGCAACTGAAGACCTGCTGCAATAACTTCAGCAATAGAACAGTGAAAACACTGAAAACGGGTTTTGATAGATAAAATCTAATCCTCCTTACAGGGAGTAGAGACTATATTAGCTGACTAATGAAAATGGAAATTCTGTAATAACTAAGATAAAAAGCAAACACTAATGATGGGGTAGTTAGGCGAGGAAGTGGAGGCTGCAAAAGGATTCCCGCGGTAGTGGCAACGCTGGCAGACCGTTGCTAGAGTGTTCCCTTGCCTCTTTATGCATTGTTTGTTATATGGTACCACATCAGATGGAGGTGGAAGAAGTCAATAAAATATTATATTATATAAATAAGAGGTTTTAAGAGTTAAATATTTAAATAGGATAATCTTTTGTTATATGTACATGTAAACCCCCTTTTCTAAATATCAAACTTTTGTTTCAATGTGAATTGGCTATAATTTATATTGACCTATTTGAACTCAAATTTCAATTAATTTCAAACATTTTAACTCAAACTTTTTTTATTTTCCTTCTTTTTTTTTTCTTTTGAACTCCAAATACAATTTCATGCCTACTAATACTAAAATAAATTCCAATTTTCGATTGTTACCAAAATATATGATCAAATCAATTCAAAACATGAAAAATTTTCATTTGAGTTTCTTGTCATGCAAAGCGTTAATATTTTTCTCAAATTGCAATGTACAAACTATCAATGAAATTTCCATAAACAACCCTCTGATTCCCTAATTTATTCTGTTCAATATCTTGTTAATTAATTACTGCCGGCTTTCTTGCCATTAAGCCCTCTGATCCCTCACTTGTATGATAATAACGCCCATATCCCCATTATTTTATTTTAATCTCTTATTAATGCTTAATTTAATCCCTTCTATTAATGACCTAAAAATTCAAATCCCAAAGAAGGCTGTGAATCTAACTTAGTAAAAATGAAAGTTGCACTGAAATTTATAGACAAGTTTAACGTGTGGAGAATTTATTTGGCCTTAATTGCAATACATTGCATCACATAATACTCTAATGACAAGTTATAATTGCAATTACATCAACATGCTAAAGTCATTCAATTTACAATTTTGAAAAAAATTTATAGTATTTTTTTAAAAATACAATCAAATCTAGGCTTTTGTTTGGAACATCTATCTTAAAATTTTTAGTAAAAAAATAAATTTTTTTCTACTAAAAATTGCTTTAAGAAGTAATGAAAAAGCCGTTCCAAACAAAACCATCATCAGAAAGACTGAAATGGATTGGTTGATTGGAGTTTTGAAACTTTCCTTTGAATTATGACATGCATTTGGAATTATTGATTACAAATATAGATGCATAGTGATATTTTTAAATAATATTTTTGTAAATGAAATTATAATTTTATTTTGGTGGCTTAATCTATAAATGCCTAAATACTTAAAGATATTTATTGATTGAAATTAACAAAAATATTTTTTTAAAAAAAAAATCATCAATGATTGTTCTAATAGCATTATAACTTGAAAGTTATATGCAATTTATCTTTGAATAATATAAGATAACAAATTACACAACAAATAAATCTTGAAATTAAAAAGAGAGAGAGAGAAAGAGAGAGATCATTAATCAAAGTAATTCTATGAAACAAAGAAGCAAAAAAAAAAAAACATCAATAATCTAACAAAATCAAAGAAAAATTATAAAGGAGCTACATACACTATCAATTTATGAAGAAGAGAAGATCATGAGGAAATCATCTATCAAAAGAACAAATTTTGAATATCTTTCTATTAAAGCTTGAGAGACAAATCGAGCTTATGTGTCTCCTCCTTTCCCTGATTCAATAGAACGCCGGAACCCATCCACTTATACTGAAACCCACCAACACCACCCACTTCCTCTGCCGCTGCCGACGGCGGCGGCGGCACCTCATCGAATCTCACCCCCGCTCCTCTAAACGGCATCAACATCCCACCCGAATACTCCTCGGCCAGCAACCTCCCTACCCCGGTCCCCACCGGCGTCCTAAACCACCCCTGCCGCCCCGCCATCATTCCGGCAACCATCGCCGGCGCCGACGGTGAACCGAAGTACGCCTTATGAACCATGGAGTGCGTTTGGATTCCCAGCGGCCGGAGCGGAAGTCCGGCGAAGTGGCGGTTGTCATCCACGGGTCCCCCGCGGCCGCGTTTCGCCAGCTGCCGCTCCCGTTTATGAGCGTTTTGGTGGCCTCCGAGAGCTTGCGAGCTGTAGAACTTCCTGCGGCAGTAGTTGCAGGAGAAGACGCGTTGCTCTGCAGTCTCCACCCCTTCCGCTGCCGTCTCTGGTGGCGGCGTCGACTGCGCAAGCGTTGAAACGGCTGCCATGGAAGCGATGAGATTGAGCTCAATGAATTGAGATGAGTCTTGTTCCATTAGCATCACTGTTTTACGTTTAGTGTCTCAGAAGATCGAAATAGATGTTGATGGCTGATATAAAGGGAAGAGGAAGAGAGCAGAAGTAGGAAAGCAGGAGAGGGAAAGGTATGGTAATAAATGTGAATTGTTCGGGGAAGGAAAGAAGAGGAGGAGCTTTGGGTTTTAACAGTTACGTCTGTCGTCTTGATTTGCTGGAAAATATATATATTATTTTCAGAAAATTTTAATATAAATTATTTCAGAATTAATTTTAAAATTAATATAATGTTAAAATGTTCACACATAATAATCATTTTTAAATTCATCCTCTTATATAATTTAAATTAAAATAATGGAGAAAACTTAGTTGAAAGCTTATGATGTATTTAATTTCTTTTAGATTATGGTTTTGTATTTAGTGCATGCATTTATACTATTTAATTTAATTAGTTGGCTTTTTTAATTATTTATTTTTTAAGGAAATTAATTTGTACTATTAGTCTATTACTTGTTTGATGACCGATGTAGATATGAGGAAAAAGATTATGAGTTGTGATTTAAATGAGATTTAATTTTATTTTCAAATTTCGATATAATAAGAATTTCGATTTATAATTGTATTTTCAAAAATTTTTAATTTGCTAAAAAGTATTTGTGGTTAAATATAGCTATTAAGTTATATATTTATAATAAATTACAATACAGTTAAAAATATTAGTACATCTATTAATAATATTTCTTAAAAAATATATATAGCTATAAGAAAAAAAAATGCTTCATTTAAGAAGAAAAAAATAACTAAAAGATAATTTATTTTCTTAAAAACTGTGTTATATATATAGATCTAAATATTTAATATTAATAAGCAATTACATGAACGAAAATTTTTGAAAAAAATTGATCAGCTTTGAGTTTTATATTGCACTCATTTCAAAATAAATCTAACGGTTATAAATTTATAATAATTAAAAATTTCATTACAATATGCTAATGATTTTTTTTATTATAAAGGGGATCTTTTATCTCTCTAAAGAACTTAATTAGTGAGGGATTTAGAATAATTATGACATAAATGTTTGCTAGGTTTGGCTAAAGCGTGTATTGTATGCATTTATTTGATTTATCAATGAAAGAAGGAAAAAAAGGGAGGAGTTGAAGGCATCATATAAGGAGTTGCAATAAAGTTTTGGATTTGATTTAATTGAATGCATGAGGTTTGATGAAATATCCTTTAATGAATGGACTGAACTTATTGGGAACATATGAATGGTGATCCAAATCTTTATCTTTTATTTATTTCTTCTTCTTATTTTTTGAATTGGAGGTTTCATTGGTCATTCGAATCAGGAAAAAAAAAAGGGAATCGTTTAAACTTTTAGATCTAATCCATGCAAAATCCTAAAAAGGAGAGATCTTACTTTATTTAGGAGGGATTGACTTGTGAGGTCTTCTTGCTTCTACTACAAGGATTGGAATTTGGACTAATATTAAATATCGTAGATGTTTTAAGGTTGTCTTAGAGAGAGAAAGAGAGAGATTCTTCTATAAATCGAGTTGAGCTCAAGTCAACCTTGATTTAAGTTTGCTAGTTTGTTCCTTTTGCTTTCTCTTGTTTTCTGTGCCCTTGTTATTTACTTCTTGTTGGTTGTCTTTTTTGGGACTTTTGAGGTGCTGGCATTGGCTTCTTCTTATTTTCGTTCATGTGTGGCTCACTCTGTGGTACAGCCTTTCTGCTTGGCGGTTTTTTATTTTTTATTTTTGTTTTTGTGATTAGATAGAATCTAAGGTTTGTAGGTTTTGCTTTAAGCGTTGTTTTTTTAGAGGCTTAGAATTTCTGAAGGACTTGTAACATCTATTTTCATTAACGTGTAGGCCCTTCTAGTGGGTTTTAATTAAAAAAAAATTCGAGAGCTCAATCTCTAGCTTTATTCTGCGAGCTCAAACCGGGTCATGGGCGGGCTAATTTATTATATATATAAAAAAGAAAATGATTAAAATTCAAATAGTTATTATAAAAAATGATAAAATGTGTGACAAATAAAAAAAAATATAAGAAAGAGATATTTTAAAAAATATATATATTTTTGCAACTTTGTACAATACTGCTTAGATATTTTAAGTGCATTTTATATTAACATATTTTAAATGAGCTGGCTTGTGAGCTAACAAGTTGATTTTGGGTTGACTCAATCTTGGCTCGTTAGCTTATTAAGCTCTGCTCAAGAGCTATTTGTCGAGCCGGCTCATGAGTCGACTTAACTCACTTACAACTCTAGCTTATACAATAATTTTAGGATATTTTGATTACTTTGATAGATATATATTTTCTATTTGATGTAAATTAATCCCATTAGAATATGAAAATGAATAGCGCATGAGACTGATTGGATGACGAAGATTGGTGATGTATTATAAATAATTTTTAAAATAAAAGGGAAGTTGTTAAAAATAATATAAGTGATAAAATTAAATATAATAAATTAAAAGGATCATAATATTAGTTGAAAATTGAAATGATATTTATTGACAAAATAAAAAGACTTAACAAATTTATAAATAAGGAAAATAAAATAAAATATAATCTTGAGATGATATAGACTAATAACTACACTTAATCATGTAATTATCCACGTGTTAGTAGTATTTAGATTAGTAATCTTCTCATTTAGAAAGTAAATTAATTGCCCTCCTTATTAATATCACATCCCTATGTTATCTTTTCATTAATAATTAGTTTTTGCAAAGAAGGCCAAATAATTAATCAACCAAAATTAAGCCCAATAAGGAAATACTTAATGAGGATGGTCTAATCGAATAAATTAAAATTAATTAATCAATTTTAAAGGAAAGAAGAAATACGGTGTAAATTATAAGCCTAAACTTTAAATCCTAAATATAATAAAAAAATAAAAGAAGCATTGGAAGTTCTATAGCCAACCATAAAATGCAAAGAACTCTATAAATTTTCTCTCTTATGGGGAATGATTAATTATCTGTTTTTATTATTATTATTATTATTATTGAATAGTATTGCATAAATTCTCATTACTCCAAAGAACTCTTCTTGAAGAATTTACAGAGGCTGCCAAGGTGGAAGTTTAATCATTAAATAATTTGATAGAAAATTCAACCGTATAAGATTGAGGCAAACAATACTCCCACAGGCCCCTCATTAGCTCCGCCACTGGGAAAAGTGTCCGGATTTATCCGAACACCAATTCAAACGCGCCACATCACCAAAATACACCGAGGTCCAGTGTATTCGAGTGATGTGGCGTGTTTGGATTGAGTGTCCGGACGTCCGGTGACCGGACATAATAATTCGCCCCGCCACTATGGGCCGTCAACAAGAAGAATCCTAAAAAATAAACATTGATCTCTATATCCATGGGAGCTAAAGGCTCCAAACTTTATTTATATATGAGATCTCTATAATATAGAGAAATAATGGACAAGTTGATGGTGGTGGTTGTGATAAAATAAGCTCAATCTTTAATGCGTGTGATCAAAATAATTATATAGTAATCATCATCTGAAGTAGTGATTGTCTCTAGAGATGAAAGTAAGTGAATTGAAACTAGAATTAAAAAAAAAAGGAGAATATTGATCATCTTAAGCCTTGTACTTCTAAAAAAATCTCAATATTGTAATCAATAGAATTTAAGAGAAACAATTATCTGAAGTGGCTTGAAAGTTGATTTAGATGTGATCATCATCATCTGAATAGGTTGTTTTGTGGGTGTTGTATCTTGTGGCGGCTGTGCTTCTCGGTTTGGAGCATTATTTTTGTGATCTGGACAATAATGAGGCTACATTCTACACACTTTATGGTTGGCCTTGGCTTGCTGGCAACCTTGGTAGTTCAGCTTGTGGGATGGTGCTTGTTTTATTTGTACTGTGTCTAGTTGCCCTATGATTTGATGCCTCCAATGGAAGGTCCTTGCCGTTCGGCTGGGTAGTTGCAGGATGAGCCACCTTCTGAGTCTGACTGTTCACTATGTGGCCTTCATAATGCATGGCTTATTTTAGCTCTTTTCTTTTGGAGGTTACTTTCTCTAGCATTGTATTTTTATTTCTACTTTTTTAGGCCTTTGATGTAATCTATTTATTATTGAATGAAATTTGGGCATGTTCTTTTTATTTTTATTTTTAAAAAAAAAAATTAAGAGAAATAATATCTCAAACTCAACAGTATTTACCAACTTATGCCCTTCAATATATATAACAATCTTAGTTTTAACCTTTTATAATATCTTATACTAAAATTTTATTAGTGACAGTTTTCTAAAGTAGTTTTTAGTACAAAAATATATTGAACTCAATGTTTTTGTATTAGAAAGCTGATTTAGAAAATAGTAAGAAAATTTTTCCAAATAAATCTTAAATATAATGCATAATAATAATTTCAAATACTAATAAATCATAATTATTCTTAAGATTTAATTCATTAATTATCAATAAGAGATGTATCATCATAGAGGACTATCTCTATGCCACAAAGGATTGGATGGTTGAGATGTAAGAATCCGAACGTGTTCGGAGGCGAATCCTGATATGCCACATCACCGGGGCCCAGTGCATCCAGTGACGAGACGCATCCGGATTCGTCTCCGAATACATTCAGATTCCGCACTGAATAATTTCTCGCTTTCATGTAGGTTTTGGAAGGTGTGTATTGAAGGTAGATGGGACAACAACAATTATAAATTTAAGTCAAGCCACCTCATAATGCAACATATAATTAATTGTTCATCAACATATATCCAAGCGACGCAGCTGAGTTCACAATGCGAGTAGTCATGGATAAGTAAGAGGTGAGGGAGATGAGGGAAGGTCATAAAGTTTGCAAGCATTGTCGGTTCGTTCTACGGGGCGTTGGGGGCATACAATGAACAGCCTACTTGCACAAGTTAAGAGCACCCAAAACAACTTACTTGCCACAAGAATTATCGTTTCATTCGCAATCTAAATACATATCGGGGTCTGTTTGGGATGACTATAACTTTTTATAAAGTTGGTTATGAGTTGCTGTGAGAAAAATAACTATACGACAATTATTGTCAAAAGTAGCTTTTGATTATAATTTTTTTTTTAAATAATGAGAAAGCAATAACCAAATATAATTATGATTGTTGTCAAAAATAT